CCCGATCATTATTACCAGCAGCTCGTGGCTCAATGATGGGATCATCGTCAACCTGTTCTTCCTCACCCTCCTGTGGATCTCCTATGTCGAAGATCTCAGGCTCAGGAGGCGGTGGTGGGCCCGATGGCCCAGCAATGGGTGTAGCGGCGGGCGCGAAAGCCGCACCAATCCCAATACCTTTGCTTAAAGCCTGGCCTGCTAATGGTCTTAGGCTAGAGAATAGCGTCGTGAATACAGGCGATGCACTCGCATTCGATGGTGATGTTGTCGACCTCTCACATGCATAAGCTGGTGGGCGATAGGCGAGTGACGATGAGGACCGCGCCCAAGCATGAAAGAAACTTCCCGATGATTGTCGCTCACATGCATATGGCGGGGGATTGGAGAAGTACGGAGCTTTAGCGGCTTTGCCAAATGGAATCCCCGATACAGAATGATCCGAATCCTTCTTATGATCTCTGCGTCCTTTCACCTTCGGTGAATTTCCGGTTGACGAGGACAACACAGCATCTTTAAGCTCATTCATGGTTTGTCCGCCAACATGTGATGCCATGGCCTTAAGCGCTTCAGTAATCTCCGCACCATTATGGGTTTGAGGAATCTGAGGCACACTCGTGTTCACAGCACCAGCCTTTACTTCTGCTACGATGCTTTGCAAAGTCGCAATCTGACTGTAAAGCTCCTGCTGTTGACAAGCTAACATCTCGTTTTGTTGCTTCAAGCTAGCGATGGTCTCATTTGCCACAGCCAATTGTCTCGAAGCTTCAACGGAAACCTCCGAAACCATAGCTTGCGCTTGTTGCTCAATGGCCTGAACCCTTGTTTGGGCTTGATTGCTCATGTTGGCGGCGATAGCCTGGACCTGATCCTGATTGTTGTTGAACCTTGGAAGCATATGCTACTGCCTGCCTTTCAACAATCTGGGCTTGCGCCAATGCCTGGGAATGGACCTGAGGGTCAACCCTTGTACAATGACACCCAACTGCAGGTGAACCTCATGTGGCGGTGGTCCATACATCACTGGATTACCGGAAGGTGCTGGCATCATATAGGTTTCGCAACCTCGCACGCATACATGTGCTTTGGCTTTGGGGCGGGTTTGTTCCTATGGTAGGGACTGGAAGCCCTCGAAGGTCTATTTGATGATGACGCAGCAACAATCCTACCCTCGGATGCAGAGGTGGACGATATCTGCAGGGGATCCGTCTCCATTTCATGTGAAGACGCCATTATTACCACTGTGTGTGGCAGAGTGCCAACTCCACAATGTTCGGTTTCAGTTGTTCAGGTTCTCGGGCCAATGGGATTCATACCAGGGCGCAGAACCGAGCAAAATGCCGCAGCACCAAACCAGTATGGAAGGCGGGATGCCAATACCACAAACCCGTGAAAGAAAAAAACTTAGGACCCGAATCTCAATCCAATGAATCCACCCCGGGTGCAGCACGACGCAAAATGCCGCAGCACACAACGAAGAGGAACCTAGGACTGATGACGTGTCACTAGATTGTAGGGCACGCCCTCCTCACGGCAGAGCGTAAGAAGGCTACGCCGATCGCGCACGTCCCAATGGACAGCCTTGATGCTCTCCCCAGTGCGGAACTCTTTGCAGAGGTCGTTTCTGTCGTCGACGTGAGTCCAAAGAGCCCAAGACGCCTGATCGTGATCACTCCAGAGCCGCTCGCCGCTCACGCAACCAGCGAAGGGTTGCAGCTTTGCCCCACGGGCCAAGTGGCTTTCGAATAACAATCAGAGGAAGAGGCTTCAAAGGATAATCAGCGCAAGAAGATACGACACCACGCCAAAGCTCCAACGCGTGATTCCCATGCGACTTGTAAGAGTTCTTAGGGATAAAAGAAAGCACGCACACCAATGTATGCTCACGAGTGGCCGCCTGCGAAAGCTCGCGGGTTTGCGATACACTCCGATCTGCAACTTTATGCTGGTCCAAAGAGAGACTGTACCTGTAGCCAAGGCCAATTGCCTGCGTGAGCCAAAGGAGGAGCTCGCCTAACCCAGTCGATGCGTTATGCAACTTGCAGTGCTCGCGCGGCGGATCCATTAAAATAGCGGCACTGGAGGGTTCGCGTGGCGGATCCATCAAACCGACAGCACTGGGTGAAGATGAGGGAGAGATCTCGCGCGGCGGGTCCATTAAAACAGCAGCACTGGGAGCAGATGAGGAAGAGGCAGACGCAGAAGACTCCTGTTCAGCATTGTACTTCCTCCATTCCCCTGTAGTCCAGGAACCTACCGAATCCTTAACAACTGAATCGACCCTACGGGGAAGGAAGGACTCAGAGATGGTCGGGAATTCTCGAATTAAACCCTCTCCCTCTAAGTCCTCTCTCGGCTGTGGCCGCTTCTTCGGGCGTGTGACGATGTACTTCTTGCCTGTGTCGGGATCCGTTGTATCCCCTTCGACCCTGGGTGGTACGGGTGTCCTTACACCTTCGTGTTTAGGCCTTGCACTCGGAGGTGCCGGGGTCCTAACACCACCTATCTTAGGTCTGGGAGTTGGAGGCTTAGGAGGATTATGATCAACAGCCGTGTCACCCGGTGGACTCCAAGAGCGATGCGACCCAGCGCGATCAGATGAAGTCTCTGGCCCTGCCACTTAAGGCTGGCTCTACCAAAGTGTCCGCAACCGGGGGGCAGCGTCGTCCCAGGTTCAAAGAGCGGCACGCTCTGCGTCAAGTAAAGCCCGGACTCCTAAAGAGATCAAGGCGGCCCCGAACCAGCTGCAATAACTGAATAACTCCGTGCGACCCTCGCTCTCCAGGCGAGTTGCCAAATAGGTCAGGAGATTACAAGCTGTGGCACGATGCCGGCGGTTCTTAGAAGCACCGCCTCCCGTGCAATACCTAAACGCAGAGGCATGCACCAAAATGGACTCGTCCGCCTCCAGATCGAAGAGGGCAGAATGCATGCAGGGTGGAATTAAATCCATGATCACCACCAATTCAAGCTGATGATATAACCCAAATGCCGTCCTAGTGGCTTACTGACAACCCACCCCGGATGTGTGTGCGAACTGCCTTAGCTCGACTTCACAGCCTTAACGGTTCCTCGAATAACTAGAAACCGAAAGTGTCAGCCACCGTCGGCTTCAAGCCAGTGTCGACGGGTAATGCACGCATGTCCTTGACCTTGAATCCTTAATCTTTGATTTCGGGCGTGCAAATGGCAATCGTGCTTTGTTGATTGTTGCTCCTGACACGGGGCGCCAACAGGAGGGCAATAACCCGGTCAACCACAAGTCCTCAACCTAACGGGAGAACCGCGGGACTGCAGGATGTGCCTTCGTTGTTGTTTGGGACAGTGGCGGTGATGGGAAACCGTTTCTAACCCTTCACAAAACCCGTCACACCACAAAGCCCTAGGCCTTCCTAAACCGTGAGCGGGTCTCGGAAGAGGTGTATGGGTTGATGCCACAATCTTTGATTGTCAGTCCACTCAATTGCTCAAGCAGACACAGTTTGGGAAATCGGGCTTGTTCGAATGTTCAAGCTAAGACCACCGGTGGCAGAATGCCAACTCGGCGACCCAAAGACGCCCTAACCGGGTGCGATGCAGCGGCCTCAACGCAGCAAGCGGAGGCAAGCGCAGATGCAGCCTTTCGGTTATGGGTAGTATCTCGGAATTCCCCAATCGATGTTGTCGTCTGCGTATCGGAATTGGGTTACCATATGTATCTGATGCAATCGAAGGATGTGCGATACCACGATTCAATGGACCTGCGAACAACCCTTCTCCAACGCGTCCTAGTCCAGTTCCACCTCCTGCGATTCTGAAGGTAAGTGGGGAAGAACGTCTCAAGCACCCAAAGTCTTATCGTGTAGTAAAGATCTACAAGCCAGTCGTGCAAAGCTTCGCACACCGTAGGATGCCCGTCTGCTCTGGGCATTCACAGTTCCTGTGCTACGGTGGTGCCTGACGCCAAGGGGAGGGTCCACGAAGCGGAAACCAGGGGACAGGTACCTCCTCAAGTCTAAGACTAAACCACCTGCGAAGCGTAAGAAGCTCTTGAACCCTTAGTCTGGCCTGCCTGTAAACCCTCTTCCTTAGGGCCCTTGCAAGTCTAGTCCAAAGATTCAATGGCTGACTGATGAGTGCACGTGTTATCCGTTTCACGCGCGGCTGCCTAAAGAATCGAATCCAGTGATTGAAGTGCGTAATGATTGCAAATATGGAACTCAACCCGATGGCTTGGCTGTAGCACAACACGGGGAGTATCAGTACGGGGCAGGTCAGCTGATTCGACCTACGCAATGCGATTTCACTTTCAACACCAAAAGACGGTGGAGAAAACACGGAATGCTATGGCTCAGGTAGAGGCTTTAGACTCACCTAGCCACACCACGAATGAAGTATCTCAAAGCTGAGGCTGTTAACCAGAAGAACACAAGAGACACAAGTGTTGTAGCAAGGAACAGCAACAAGTACAGCGAACGCACTTGTTTTCCTTGAGCCAAGTGTTCGGTTGATAAGTCTTCGTTCTGTCCTAACTTGGTACCTGCTGCTACACTAGGAAACATGTCCAGGGAACGTGTTTTCTTAGCTACAAACATACAGTGTCCCCAAAGCTTACACATTCTACAACACCAGACGCTACTGTCCTTGAAGTTTACTTGCAAACCCTACAAAGATACAATCGTTTAAGGGTGGACGTTGGTATTGCAAACCTATAAAGTCTCGTCAACAAAATTGAAAGGTGGACGTTGGCCTGTATACACTCCTGTAGTGTCCTGCTGTCCTTGTAAAGTATAAAAATTCTACAATGCAAAGATACGCAGATCTGCGGGCGGACGTTGGCGTTACAAAGTCTACAACACAAGGATACATCAATTCCAGGGTGGCCGCTGGCATTACAAACTTATGATATACATATAAAGAAGTTTAAACGCAGTCTACAAAACAAAGATACACAAATTGGAGGAGCCGCGGCAGCGGTCTGGTACGAGTACCCGCTTTTGTCTCGAGCGCTGGCCGGAGATGTCTCACTTGAGGGCTCGCAGCGCGTACCTCGAAGAGCGGAGGGGCAGCGTGACTTGCCGATTCTATATGTGGCGCTAAACTGGCGCACTTGTGCGTGCTCACCAGCGCGGCCCAGAGCCCTGCGAGGCAAAAAGCCAACTCCGACCTGATCTGCATTCTGCAGCCTGCTACATGCTGCACTGCTGCATGCCGCCTGCCAGCTGCCGCTCTCTCAAACGCCGAGTGCCCGGCGCGAAGGGGAGCTCGCAATCCCAGAAAGCCTCTGGATGCAACACATGGGGCAGGGTGGCTTTCGTTCGACGCTGTTTGTGCGGGACCCACCCAGCAGCCTCGCGAAGATGTGAGTTCATTGAGGGTGCTGTTTGTGCTGCAGGAATTCTGCAGTGAATGGTTGTCCTTGCATTCATTTCTGAGAAGAATGTTGCTTGACCGTCGCAGCGTTTGCAGCAACAGGGCAGCGGAGTCTCGTGGAGAGGGTGCTGTTTGTGCTGAATCGAAGCCAAAACCGTGGGACCTATCCAGCAGCCTCGCGAAGATGTGAGATCATTGCAGCCATGTCAGATGATCCACAAAGGATTCCGAACTGTCTCGTCTTCTGCAAGAGATGCAGAGACGGAAGATGAAAACAAAGAGGAGCGACATATAGGAACACAACTTGCCGAAGCTGCCAGCCGGGGCAAAAAGCAACGAGAAGCCGAGGCAGTGCTAGACAATGCGGCAATGCCCAAGCCATGCACTCGATATCACGCTCCGCCCCTTGTCCACACCTCTCCCCCACCGCCTCCTCCGCGTCTTTCTGACGCCCTAGCCAAGTTGTGGCCTCGCCTTGAGGAGGTCTGCGAGGAATTTGCTGAACTCCAGCCGAGCCTCAGAAAGCGAACCGGACCGGAACCGCGCAGAGCCGCTCTCCTCCATGCGCTGTCTGCAGCTTTGCGGCCAAAAGGGATTTCCGCTGATCCGGTACCGTGCTCCCTGGCACCTTGGCCTTCTCGCTTGCCCGGTCTGCCTTCACCTTGCTCACCATAATCTCCACCACCGCAAGGACCAGCTGACACCAGTTTGCATAGTACCTCGCCCACATCCCCGCATCTACCGCACCTCAAAAAGAGGCCTTCTGTCTCAAGCCTCTCATAAGTATGTGTGGGGTCACTCGGTGCGCGGGTGCAGCGTTCCCTTGCGTAAAATACCCACCTTCTCAAGTGAGGTCCAATCCTGACATGCTGTCGAGAAAGGGCACTGCCGCATTGCACTGCCTGCACTAGAACAGCAGCAGCAATAGCTACGTTGAGTATCAATGCAAACCAGTCCTACAGCAACGTGCCACTTATCAGCCGGCTGCTGCTTCGTTTATAATACAAAATGAAACCCGGCATTTGCCGCTTTCGTACGGTGCTCTTTCACTGCCCACATCCTGCATCTCGCAAGCATACCGTAGTCAGAAAGCTTGTTGGCAGAGAGCAACGGTGAAGCGCACAGTGCGAGACGGCAAGTCTTCACTTCCGGATTTGCAGCATGTGTTGAAAAGCACCAAGGTAACATGTCACTCTGAGGGTAGATGTGCGGCTGCAGGCAGGCGAAGCCGCAGTGAATCAACACTGTCCTTGAGTCTGCAATGTGGGCAACGCACTTCACCACCCAGTCTTCAGAGCGCTAAAAATGTGCTGTGGACCACCCTGTGCCGACACTGCAAGCACCGTCTCCGCCGTCTCCCAAGTCTCAGAAAACAACATTCAACGCCCTCGTAAGATCTTGATAACCTTTGGCAAGATTTGGCCCACGAGTGCATGCAGACCCGCACCGTCTACGCTCCTAGCAGTTGACCTTCACCCAAGTGCTTCAACGTCCAGCTGGAGTTACACATTGACATGAGATCGACAATGCGACGCTCTTCAAAAGACCCAAACTCATTGCGATTTCTTCCGGACAGTCCCCTGGCTATGCAGACTTTAACAACTCCACGCCATCCCTCTGTTCAGCTTGTCGGAACTAAATTTAACAAATTCTTCCGATTATTCATGATTGCTAGACTATACCTGTCCACGACGTTGACTTAATTATTGATTGGCCTTTAGCCGTGAATAAGTACCTGGATAATGCGCTAAACAACAATGAACAGCTGATTGAGGTGCGGAAACTCCAGAGACAATGTACTTTTGAAGTTTGTATGCGGAGCCAAGTGAAGTGTTTTCCAACATGCCATTGGTATCCACGGGTTAAGCAAAGCGGTTCTGACAGAGAGCATTGTGAAACTGACTGTTCCCACTTGAACGCTCCCTCTTGTGTCTTGCCGATTGGATCCCTTCAAACGAACTCTCAAACAAAATGCTACATCTGCTATCAGGGCCCATTGTTGCTACCATCACCTCCGGTAATGTTGAATTCCAAGTGTCTATACTGATGTACATCCGCCGACCCTGGCGGCGTGCTGGATGGGTTGGGAGGTGCTAACCTCCCTTTTTTTCTCCGGCGGGGGGAGTAGGCAGCATAACTGAGGACAAAGCTGGCACAAAATGGCGTTGACGCCCCTCCCCCCACCCCCACCTTCCACCCTCCCCCCCTAACCCCCCCTCCCCGTACTTACCACCCCGGAGTACTACTACGACAGCACACCACTACGACGACGACGACGACTACTACTACTGGTGCTTCTGCTGTCCTACTGCCACTACTACAACAACAACTACTACTACGACTACCACTAGCGCTACTAACTACTACTAACGACTACTATCTACTACTACAACAACTACTACTTCTACTACTACTACTACTACTACTACTAGCACTACTACTACTACTACTACGACAAATACTACTACTATTTTTCAATTGAACGCTGTGCGAGCGGGCTCTGCACATAGCGGGCGATTGCCGCGGTGCACTCACTTTGGTGTGAAACTGACTCAGACCCTATAGCTGATCCGCCCAGGTCAAAAGACCTTTGAGTGGTTGCGGCCTACAGGCTTTGAGCTAACTGGCAGTGATCAGCCAAAGCGAGTTTGCAGGCTGCAGGGTATCAAGCTCCAGATTGTTGTATGTACCTGAACATTGAAACGGAATTCGCGTTGTGTATGCTGTCAGCAGAGCAGCAGTAGCGCGACCGGCAGCAGGCTAGGGCATGATTTCCGACTGACAGCGGCGGCATCCGGCAGAAGGGCCATCAGTCTGTCTCGGAAGAGACGCAAGTGAGAACAGGCATGGCCTCCGCGACTTACTGCTTAGTCTGCCAGTGGCACCATTGGTTGCAGCGTTGGAGAGGGCATGCAGGGCGCTGCCTTGCCGCTGCTTGCCGCCTCCGGATGTCTGGCGTCGAGTGTCGACCCCAAGCGGCTCAGATGGCTCTCCCATTAGTGAATCTGGAGCCAGGGGAGAGGCGGTTCGACCACTTTTGTGGTCCGGGCTGTGGATCGTGTCAGCCATGCTGGGTCAGCCTGAAAAGCTGCGGGTAAGCCTGCGCATGCCTAAAGCATGCTTGGCCTTGACGTGGGGGGGGCCATGCCCACCTATTGTGGGGTCCGGCCTTCCCACGCACAGGCACCCTATTGGTGCACGCATTCCTAGGTTTGGAGGGCCAGCACTCACCCCTTGAGGGTGAGTCAGAGTCACTCCTGTCTTCTCAAGAAAAGGAGGTAGCAGTCTTCCATAACATGTTTGCGATCTGAGGCCGAGGCTGGGTATGGGCGGGTGGCATCATCCCCCACATACAGCGCGCCTCCATTTGGGTGAATCCAGAAGGACCGGTAGTGGCCGGAGTGTATGTCAGCACCTATGTGAAAAACTCCCGAAATGACTGCATATTGATGCCATTGCCGGCCCTGACCCTCAATCCAAGACGGCATTGAGAGGTGCCTGCGCAGGTCCAGCGGGGTGCGTCGTTTTGTGCCGTCCATCCATCGAGCGATTGTGACTGGCAGGATGTCAGGGGCCCATGCCAGGGCGCGCTGGAACGTGTGGTCATACCATGCCGTGCAGGCCTGCTGCAGTGTACGACAGGCTGAGGAAAGGGGCAGCAGCAACGGCGTGAGGCCGTCATCCTCACTTTCCGGCACTCCATTAGTGCGTCCTTCCCAGCGAGCGGGTTGCAGAGTCCCCGTGTTGTGCTCTAGCATGTATGTGACAAATTCGGAGGCGTCTTGTTGACGGCCATCGAATCGCCATCTAGGCACTAAGGACCGGAGAGCGAATAGGCTTGGAGGGTTTATGTGCCTCGTATCCATTGGATCCGCTTCCGGGTTGATGCAGTGTTGGACCAGTGGTCCCAGTTCCGCTACATTGGACGCAGAGTCTAGCGCGGCTAGTAGGGCCTGAATGGTCGCATTGACATAGCAGGTGTTACCCGAGTTCACCATGTGTCGCATACGAGAATACAGGCCTGGCGGGAGAGTGCTGCCGACGGCGCCCGTCGTTGCCATGGCAACAGTGGGTGATGCAGCCGCGGTAGCTGGCTTGTCTGCAGCCCCAAAAAAGCCACTAAGTGACATTGTCACCGCGGTCTTGGGATGAGGCTTGGAACATTGTTCCCGCATCTTGTCCGTGCCTTGCACCTTGTGCCACCCAAGCAGAACCTGAAACAGGACAATGCATTGCTCAGGGTGTTTGCGTTTGTCATAGACCGGCAGCCTGCAAAAGGGGCAGGGGTGCCCCTTTATCATCTGCACAGAATAGGCCTTGCAAAGCTGAAGTGCTGCCGGACCATCTCGCTGCCATGCTTGTGCATGGGCCTGTCGTTGATGATTCTTCATCTTGGTATGGTCCGGGGTCCAAAAACCGCACAAAATGCACCGATGCTTAAGCTCCTGAGCCTCTGGCCGGGTGGCAATGGCACTGAGTTTGTTGCTGGGCGAACTCTGCACCTTGGCGCGAAAGGCCGCCAGGCCCTGGAGGGCCTGACCCTGCATCTGTTCCTCAGTGGTGAGAGAGATCTGACGCAGTCGTTCCGGCTGCGTGCAGGCCCCCGATAAGAGATGGTCACGTAGGCCTTTCCATTGATGGAAAGCCTTGTCGCATGCAGAACATACAGGTAGACCATCCTTGGAGTGCCGACTGCGATCAAAGGAGGGGGGAATGTACCTTTGCACGTGCTCGCGATGCATTCGCGTGACGTGCATGTGTAAGCCATGTGCAGAGACAAAACCCGACTCGCAGTGAGGGCAGGCGTGTAGCCGCTGCTGTGAGGCCTCGGTGCTCGCCGGGAGGTTTTCCACCTCTCTCAGCATGTCCTGTAGGTCCTGTACGACGTGGCTCAGTTGCGTGACGTCACCGTATGTATGTGGTTCAGACGGCTGCTGGTGTGTTGCTAGGCCCGTCGCTGGTGGACTCAGCCTGGCCCATGGGCCCCGCGTCGCTGAGGGTTCACTGGGAGTGTGTGCAGGCAGGGCTGTAGTGGTGGCTTCGGAGGGGGCTGTTCTCTTGCACAACCGCTTGAGTCTAGAAGCCATCCTTGTTTGGATTTTGGCTACCGGGTCTTGGATTGAATATAGTCGGTACAGGTCAGCTGTAGGTGTGTGGCCGACGTGTGCAGGCTGATTGAGGACCGAGCGTATCTTGTGTGCATACCAGCCTCTAAGATGCCTGGCCGTCTCCTCCGTGAGGCCGACTTCGGGGAGTCCCGTGACCAAGGTGGCCCAAACGGTGGTGAACCAGACCTTTAGCCTGGCCATTGGCCCCGCGGTGCGGCGATTGTAGACGAATCGCTTGACCTGCTGGAGCTTTTTGGCAGCCTCCGCTATGCGGAATCGCAGCGTCTGCATTTCAAAGTTCCCATAGGAAATTTGGATGCCCAGGTACTTGATTTGCGCCTCAAGTTTGTATGCAGGGAAGGATCTGTGCTTGCCCAGTCGCCAATGCCGCTGTAGTGTGCCCGTCGAGTCGGGCAGCCAGCAGGTGTGCTTCTGAAGCATGGCTTCCGCCTCTCTGCCGTTAAGCTTGACTAGCATGGCACATTTGGCCGGGTTGACGCGTAATCCCAGTTTCGTCACCTCCGACAGAAGCTGTAGGATCATCTTGTGAGCAGCGTCCACGTCTGCTTGGCTGCGGATGGTGCGATGCATGGTGAAGTCGTCCGCGTAACCCGTAAAGTATCTGCGGACATTGTCCCAGCCAAATGCGTCTATCAGTCTATGAAGGAGGCGGCCTGTGAGCACGGAAAACAGCGTGGGGGCCAACTTGCAGCCTTGTTTGATGCCAGTGGTAGTTTCCACGTCCTTGTAGGCCCCCTGAGAATGAAGTCTGTATTTAGATCGATG